GTTGAAAATGAATTGACCATAAATGTAAGTTCATTGCTGAACTCTCAATTCTATTCTATTGATCTACACATCTATTCTACGCCAGTACTACATTGTCTTCATTACCATAGAGTTTTGTAGTAAGTCAGGGGTGTTCAACACATGGCCTAGGCTGGCTTTGAATATGGCCCAACACAAAATCATAAACTTACTTAAAATATTAGGAGATTTTTGGTGATTTTTTGGTGGAAGTCGACCGTGTGGTTCTCAAGTGTGAACTTTGTAGACAAACAACAATGTTGTGTTGCAGTGTCACATAATATAAACATACACACCCCTCTAAATTTGTATACCTGTGTAGGTTCAGTGTTATATCAGTGTGTGGCTTCCGTGTGTTATCATCTAAGCTCGGAAAGTTGAACTGACACTGTCAGACATTACATGTGTTTGTGGTGACATGGTAAGACAGTGATTATCAACAATATTTTTGCCTACTATTGCAACGTTAGGTATTTAATGTTATTTAGAAGTCAGGTAAGCATTCTTATTTGATTATTAAGGGTACTTCCCCACCTCAACCATGGTTCACATGTCACCTGTCACAATTTACAACTGGCTCTCTGCCTCACGGGGCATCAGCAGCAAAGATGTGGAAGGGCTCAAATCTTGGTTTCCATTTTTCTATCAATTAATTTTCACAATAAAGGTAAATATGGTCCCTTATCTATTATTATTTTTTGAATCCTAGCATGGCTTCTACAACATCTCAAAAGGAAACAGAAGCCCAGAAAAGAAAAATTACAAATGAAGGAAGATGAAAAGTGAACAGATCACTACTTTTTTTTGGTCAAAGTAAACAGTAAGGCACTCTGCTTAATTTGTAGGGAATTCCTGCAAGTTTTCTAAGACTATAATTTGAAAAGGTATTATATGCAAAAACACACTCCAAATTCAATACTTAGGAAAGATTGTGTCATAAGGACAAAATAAGGGAACTGAAAAAAGTCTTCTTAACAAGTATGTTTTTTTAAAAGTTACAACTCAAGACAGATTCCATCATAAAAGCTGGTTTATATGGTAGCATATCTAACAGCAAAAATGTCAAGATTTACTGATGGTGAGTTTATGTCATTTACTGATGGTGAGTTTATTAAACAATGTTTGGAAAGCATGGCAGATATAATTTGCCCTGAAGAAAGGGGGATAAGTTCTCAAATCAGATTGTCTCACCAGACTATATCCAAGCAAATTTTGAAGCAATTGGAAACTCTATCAAAAGAAGTTTGTAAAGTAAGGCTGCTAGTTTTATTTTATTATTGTTTGGGGTTCACTGAGGGTACAAAGAATTAAGTTACCCTGATTGCATTAGTTAGGTAAAGTCTCTCCTATAATCGTGTTCGGCCCCCAAGAGGTGTGCCATACACCATGACCCACATCCCTCTCCCTCTTCCCTTCTCCCTGCTCCTTCATTTCCCTGCCCACCACCTTGAATTGATTTGAGTTTTTCTCTTATGAGGGTGTGTATTAGATCATCTACTGGCAAGTCTGCAAATTTAAAATTGTATGCTTTGGTGATGGATGACAGCACTGATGCTACAAATGTGGCTCAAATTGCCATTTTTATTAGAGGTAGTCACCGAAGAAATGGCTTTTTTAGTGCCATTAAAAGACACAATTAAATCAAGAGACTTAACACCAAGCATTGTCTATTGTCAACATATCTGGTATAGTTACTGAGAGAGGGACTTTTAAAATTAATAAAAGATGACGCGATTGCCACCAAAACTCATGTTTGATGAACTATCATTGCATAGTACAAAAAGAAAACTACCACACAAAAGTTTTACAAATGGAGAATGTCATCCCAAATGTCAGCAAGATTGTGAATGTCTCAAGGACCAAGGGATCTAATTATCACCAATTCCAGGAAATCCTTGAAAGTATTGATACTGACTATGGCAACGGAAGCTAGATGGTTAAGTTGAGACCAAATGTTGAAAAGATTTTATTATTTATGACATGTTATCAAGTTGTTTATGGCATCAAAGTCCAAATTTGTGCCAGAACTTGACAATGAGGCCTGGCTTTTAGTAGATTTGACCACTCATTTAAATGAGTTACATGTGCATCTTCAAAGTGAAAACTAATTTATCAATATAATATTTCAAACATAACAGGGTTCCAAATGAAACTGCAAGTATGGCAAACTCAAATTAAGGCAAACAATAGGCAGCCTTGGTTTTCAATTTGATATAAGAGTTTGAAAACATTTCAAGATTTCTAGGAAAATAATATTTTGTGTATTTGTGACTTCATTTTCAGTCGACACAAATAAGTTACCTTCTTGTTTTCCAATGGAGTGCATAGAGCTGCAATCTGACATTCAGATTTAAAGGAAAATTTAAAGGAAAATTTGATCATGTTTCTTTACTGGACTTTTATAGATCCCATCTTCCCAGAGACAAATATTGCTCACTTCACCTTCACGCCTTATTCATGTATACATGTCATCCCTTTTTGGCAGCACCTGCATTTGCAAGCAACTATTTTCAAGAATGAGGCACATTAAGAGTAAAATTAGAATCAAAATACCTGATGAGCACCTTGAGAACTCACTGAGAATTACAACTATTTCCATCAAACCAGAGACTGATGCATTAGTTTCTAAACTATTATGTTGGATATCCCACTAGTTTTATGTTGTTCACTTTTACTTTTATTATTTTAAAATATATTTAAAAAACCAGAGATGTTTTATTACTTAAATATGTACATCATCTGTATTAGTGATTGCAAACTTGGGACTTGCTCAGCAATTTTAAAGGACTCTCTGAACATGCTGCTGCTTAATTAGGATTATTATGTGAGGACCTTTTTGCTTATCTGCGGACATCATGAAAATGATGGATGGACAGCCCCCCCCCCCCACACACACCCTCTTTCATTAGTATTTGAGTATTTAATGTGTGGCCCAAGACAAGTCTTCATCCAATGTGGTCCAGAGAAGGCAAAATGCTGGATACCCCCCTGTAGTAAATGTTAAAATCAGGAACTGTAAGTTCTCCAGCTTTGTTCTTTTTCAAGATAGTTTTGGGGGCTGGGCACGGTGGCTCATTCCTGTAATCCTAGCACTCTAGGAGATCGAGATGGGTGGATTACCCTGAACTCACAGGTTGGAGACCAGCCTGAGTAAGAGTGAGACCCTGTCTCTAAAAATAGCCAGGTGTTGTGGCCGGCACCTGTAGTCCCAGCTACTTGGGAGGCTAAGGCAAGAGAATTGCTTGAGCCCAAGAGTTGGAGGTTGCTGTGAGCTATGAGGCCATAGCACTCTAGTGAGGGTGACAAAGTGAGATTATGTCCCAAAAAAAAATAATAATAATTTTGGCCACCTTGGATCCTTTACATTTCCATGCATTGCTTTTATCTTGGGGGCAAGGGGAGTTTTTTAGGAAAAAAGAAAGAAAGAGAAAGGAAGATAGACATTGCTAAAGGAACTGTTAAATTCATTTTGTGCTTTCTGAGTGAAACTTCTGCAGTGCACTTTTTGTCTTGGATGGGAGAATTTCTCTTTCCTAAATTCTGTCCTGGTCATGATACATATCTTTTTTCACTGCTAATGAACACTGTGCAGTGATTTACTCAACCAATGCCTGCCTCATTTCTGGCCTTGGCTGGGTCAGGGGTTATTTCCACTTGGGTCCTACAAAACCCTAATTTTTGGTTTACTCTTAGAGAAGTATTATCACCTTCTGTTATTGTGGTCTCTACAATGTTTTGATTGCACACCTTATCAGCCTTTAAGTACTTTTGCATGTTCATTTTGAGTATACAAATATATGTATATTTATGCATTATGTAGATTCATGATTATCATATACATTAAAAACATACACAAAACAGAAATTTTAGAGGATGAGATAACACACGATTAGAAATGGAAGTTTCCCCACACTGTAATGACTTTTATCTATCTGGAGACTGCCTGCTTGGATCTTTCCTGGTTAGTATAACTGTGTGTTCCTAGTTCCCAGCCAGCCCAACTAGAGCCTGGTGCATAGCAGAAGATGAGTGACTGTTGTTCAAAAGAAAAATTTCAGATATTCTACTATTGCTACTGAAACACACTACTTGCATTCCTAGGTTTTGCACCTAGCAAATAGAGATTCTGCAGCTGTCATCCGGTAGGGTCTCTTTATAGAGGCTGTGGACTCCTCATTTCCCCTGTCTTCTCTTTTACCTTTGAATGCATCTGACTTATTTATTTAGAAAATAGCAACAGTATCATCCTTAACTTATACTCTTTATTTCATACTGTGTAGTCAGGCAGAGTCCTGGATGCTAAGAACCATAAAGAATATAAAGCCAGGTTTCTGATCAGGAGCTCTTGGATGTGAACGTCTGGACTTCAGGGAGGTGGATTGTAAAGAAAGAGCGAGGAGTTAGCCAAATGGAGATGAAGGAGGAAGGCCATCCTAGCTGAACTGCAGAAGCAATAAATGGCATGGAGGGACCAGCACATTCCCAGGTAGGGCAAAGTTTGCTATAGCTGGATACAGGGGGCGTGTGTTTTAAAAAGATCTCTCTGGTAGCTCCACGGAGTATTAGTCTTGAAGCAAGAGGTAAGGGGAGGCTTGGGTCCTTCGTGAGTAGGGCACATTTTAGGTGCAACGTGTACAGGTTTAATCAAGCAAGGGCTTGATAGAAGGCTTCATCCCATCTCTGCTCCAATTAAATCAAACCACACACGCACAAATAGAGGCTCAGATACATCCAGACAGAAAATAGCCTCTGGGGTATTCAGAATCCCCAGTCTACTGCCAGGCATGTCCAGGCCAGCCTGAAAGTCCAGGTGCTGGTGCCTTCCTGAATCACTCCCACTGGTAAGAAGGGGAGGGGCCAGTTGGCGCCCTAGGGGTGGGCCCTGCGCCGGGCTTGGCGGCCCGGAGGCGCCGGTGGGCGGGACCTTCCCGCCGGGCAGTGTCAGTAACGGCGTCAGGCCACGCCCCTCGGGGGGAGGGCGGGGCGCGAGCTGGAGCGCGAGCAGGGCCGGAGCCGGCCTGGTAGCCCGCCTAGCCAAGAGCAGCTAGCGGAGCGCCTGGGCGGCGGTGGCGGCTGCCGTGCGATGGCTCCCGCCGCGGACCGGAAGGGCTACTGGGGCCCCACGACCTCCACGCTGGACTGGTGCGAGGAGAACTACGCCGTGACTTGGTACATCGCCGAGTTCTGTGAGTGCGGCCTGAGGCGGGGAGGGAGTGGAGGGAGGGCGCGGGTCTGAGGAGAGACGCGGGGTGAGGAAGGCAAAGGGCGAACCTGGCTGCGAGGGTAGGCACCAGGCCCGACCCGGGGAGCCAGCGTGGGGCTCTCTGGACCAGCGGGAAGCTGAGGGAAGCGGACGCGGACTCCAGGGTGTCGAGTGAGGAGTGCCAGGATTTGGGCACGATGAAGGGGGCCCATAAGGTTGAGGGGCGGAAGAGAAGTTGGGAGCTCCTGCTGGACCTAAGGAGAACCTGAGGAGCGGGGATTCCTCCCTGAGGGGCGAAGTCGGGGCGGGCCGGGGGCCGCCGGAGAAGTCGGAGAGTGAAGGACTCTCCTCATTGAATGAGGGACCGGGACACCTGCTCTGCCGTTGCTACCAGCACCTTAGGCAGAAGGAGACAATCCCTGGATTGATCCTTACGCAAATCGGTGAAAATTTTAAGGTCTTTTCCTCCTCTGTTCTTGTTAGTCCACCTCCCTCACTTCCAGGGAACATTTTTGACCAGTCTGAGAGCCGAACACCTCTTCCCCTTGCTCCAAGATATCTTCAAGTACTGGAGATCATCCGCTCTCCGAGTACGGCTGTTCAGCTATGGTCTTGTACTAGAAGTACAATAGAAGGAAGAGCGCCCTAGTCTGCACCTTCCTGTTCCCAAGAGCACAGGGGACCAAGTCCTTCCCCCACTGTGTCCTATCTGACCACCTAGAAGTTAGGGGTCATCCGAGGACACTACTTCCACTGAATGCACCTTCCGAAGACTTAAGGAAGAGCCTTTCTGTAGCTGCTGCTCTGTTAGGCACTGCTGGCCAGTTGTTCTGTCTGTCTGTCTGTTTTCCTAGTTGATTTTTCTTGCCAGGCTGGGAGAAATCTGCCACTTTTTCTGTTGTTTAGTTTGGTCAAGTTTTAAGAGCACAACGTTCAATCCTACTTTCAGGTACCTGCTTCTGGCAAAGTACAGGGAATTATTCTTTGGCTAGCTATTACTGCCTACTTTTAATTGGATCTACTTCTCAGGATATGAAGTAAAATTTTTCTTAGCTCACCTTTTCATTGTTGAGTCCTGCTCCCAGGCATGTGTGTTTGGCTTTATAGGAAAGAGGCAAGCATTTCATGCCAGATGATCCTACATTATTCTGTTCCAGTAATTGGCTAAGTTAAAAAAAAGAAAACAGAAGACATTTTGCAGTTTTCAGGACTTTAGTACCATTCCCTTGAGACCATAATTTAGGCTGTCAATTTTCTTGAACTAGGCAAAGGGCTTGTTTGTAGTGTAAACTTGGCAGCATGTCCTTTGTTGACAAAGGACATGGTTTACCCAGTTTGTTGGTAAAGACTTTGAGAAGCCTATGCTTGGTCCAGAGCAGGGGTCCTCGAACTTTTTAAACAGGTGGCCAGTTTACTGTCCCTCAGACCGTTGGAGGGCCGGACTGCGGCCTCGGGACAAGTCGGCTGCTAAGCAGGACAGGCAGGGGTGGCAAAAACACCCAGTGGGCCGGATAAATGTCCTCGGTGGGCCGCATGTGGCCCGTGGGCCATAGTTTGAGGATGCCTGGTCCAGAGGATGAGGGCCACTTGTGGGAACAGACTTTAAACCTTGCTGTCTGAGCTATAAATGTGTAAAATGGAAAAGGAGATCTTAAGAGGCTTCAAATATTGGATGGACTCTTACATGGAACAGTTAACTTTTGTAGTGCTTTACAGTCTGGAATTAAGGCCTATGGGCAGAAATTAAATGGGAAGATTTTGCTTCAACATGAGGAAAAACTTTCTAATGGATGATACAGTCATGAAACAGTTTGGCTTGGATGATAGAGGACTCTTTTTTTTTTTTTTCTCCAACAAAGTAAAGCAAAGTTGAGGGCATTGTGTCACTGAAAGTTTTAAAGCAGACATTGCTCAAGTAACCCATGAATATTTTAGGAGGAAATAATTGTTTAGTAGAGAAAAAGGGCTAGCCTTAGTTGGCCTGTAGTTGCCTTCAAGCTTCCTGTGTCTACATAGATAATAATGACTCTTAGTTTAGAGCCAAGGTTTGGGATTAGAATCAAAAGAAAAAACTAACGGCTAAGTCATGTGGACAGTGAAAGAGCAAGATACTAGTGTTGTGGCAGATAGCGCTGAAAAATGGGAAATGGCTTCAGTTTTCAGTGTGCTCAGAAGAGGAAACTGAGTAGACTACAGGGAGGGATATGACAGGAATCTGAGGAGTTTCAAGAAAAGGATGAATGAATATTGGCAGGCCTTTGCACATGTACCTTGGGAGAAAGTACTCATATCTTGGAGTAGGAGAATTTAATCTTTGAAAAATATGTTGATTAGTAATATGTTTAAAATATGTGTTCATGGCTTGGCTTCTGTAGCACAGTGGTTGCAGCGCTTGGCGCCTATAGCACAGTGGTTGCAGCGCCAGCCACTTTCACAAAGGGTGACGGGTTCAAACCCGGCCCAGGTCAGCTAAACAACTGTAGCAAAAAAAATAGCCAGGTGTTGTGGCAGGCGCCTGTAGTCCTGGCTACTTGGAAGGCTGAGGCAAGAAAATTGCTTAAGCCCAAAAGTTTGAGGTTGCTGTGAGCTGTGATACCACAGCACTCTACCCAGGGTGACATAGTGAGACTCTATCTCAAAAAAAAAAAAATGTGTTCAGATCAAATGCAGTTTTATCACTAGTACTTACATTAATGATAATATATAGATGATAATATTAAGCATAGTAATGCTATTAATAGCTATTTTTTTTTCTTTGAGACAGAGCCTCAAGCTGACCCCCTGGGTAGAGTGCCATGGCATCACAGCTCACAGCAACCTCCAACTCCTGGGCTCAAGCGAGTCTCCTGCCTCAGCCTCCCAAGTAGCTGGGACCACAGGCGCCCGCCACAACGCCCGGCTATTTTTTTGGTTGCAGCCGTCATTGTTTGGCGGGCCCAGGCTGGATTTGAACCTGCCACCTTAGGTGTATGTGGCTGGCGCCTAAGCCACTTGAGCCACAGGTGCCGAGCCAATGGCTATTATCTAAGTGCTCACTCTAGGTCACATTTTGCTAATCACTTCATATCTTCATTTAGTGTATCTTTTTTTGTGTATGTGTGTGAGTCTCACTCTGTTGCTCAACCTAGAGAGCAGTGGCGGCAGCATCACAGTAAACCTCAGTATCTGGGCCCAAATGATCCTTCTGCCTCAACCTCCCAAGTAGCTAGGACTACAGGTGCGTGCCACCATGGCCAGCTAATTTTTTCTATTTTTTAGTAGAGACAGGGTTTTATTGTACTCAGGCTGGTCATGAACTCCTGAGCTCAAGTGATCCTCTTGCCTTGGCCTCCCAGAGTGCTAGGATTATATGTGGGTTATTACGAAAATTTTGAGATACACAAAAATCAAGAAAGGTAAAGTTAACATGGACAGAAACAAATGAAGCCCTCCTAGCAACACTGATAAGCCCAGCAAGTTGAAAGTTGCACAGGTGAACCAGAAAGGATGCTGTCAACTGTGTTTCTTGGAAGTGAAATAATGGACTATAACACCATCTGTTTCAAAACTTTTGTGGTAACCCATGTAGGCATGAGCCACCATGCCTGGCAATATTATCTCTTTTGATCTTTACAATCATTTCAGAAAGAAGGTATTATTATCCCCATTTCTTTTCTTTCTTTCTTTCTTTCTTTTTTTTTTTTTTTGGAGACGGAGCCTCAAGCTGTTGCCCTGGGTAGAGTGCTGTGGCATTATAGCTCACAGCAACCTCCAACTCCTGGGCACAAGCGATTCTCTTGCCTCAGCCTCCCAAGTAACTGGGACTACAGGCACCTGCCACAGTGCCTGGCTATTTTTTGGTTGCAGCCGTCATTGTTGTTTGGTGGGCCCAGGCTGAATTTGAACCCGCCAGATCAGGTGTATGTGGCTGGCGCTTTGGCTGCTTGAGCCACAGGTGCTGAGCCTATTATCCCCATTTCAAAGATTAAGAAATTGAAGCTTTGGGGCAGCACCTGTGGCTCAAAGGTGTAGGGCACTGGCCCCATATGCCAGAGGTGGCGGGTTCAAACCTGGCTCTAGCTAAAAAAAAAGCTAAAAGAAATTGAAGCTTTAAGAAATAACTTACCTTAGGTTGCAGTAAGTCTTGAGTGATAAACTTTCAAGTTGAAGTCTGATTCTAAAGCTACCATACCATCTTCTGTCCTAATGGTTATTCCTATCACGTATTCAGTGTTTTTCCCCACATTCATGAAATTCTATATTACCAAAAAGGACAAATTCAATAACTGTTCAATTTATTGCACTATCGTTCAACTGTCTTTCAGCCTTAAGGTATATACCTTTTGGGTCACAATGTAAAGATTGGGAAATTATATGTTCAGATAAGGCAGTGGTTCTCAGTCACTTTCAGCACGTGAAAAACTGTCTTTTTAGCATCTCTCAAGATCAATTCATATTCCTTTCCTTTCCTTTTTCTTTTCCTTTCCCCTGGGTAGAGTGCCAGAGCATCATAACTCACAGCAACCTTAAACTCTTGGGCTCAAGTGGTCATCTTGCTTTAGCCTCCTGAGTAGCTGGGACTAGAGGCATGTGCCACAATGCCTGGCTAGTGCTTTTCCTATTTTTAGTAGAGCTGGGGTCTCACTCTTGCTAAGGCTGATCTCAAACTCCTTAACCTGTCCACAAGCTCAAGCAGTACACTTGCCTTAGCCTCCCCAAGTGCGAGAATTACAGGTGTGAGCCACAGCACCTGACCCCAGATCAAATTTTGGTAAGGGCCAGGGGAAAAAATAGGGGGTCTCTTTTGAGTTGTGAAATAATAAACTACTTCCAGCCAGAAGTTATAGATAGAGGCAGTCCTTGTTTTGCATAATAGGGTGGGATCATACAATGACCTTGCACATTAAAACCAGGTAAAGTAATCTTAATAATCAATGGGAAAAGTTATATAGTAATCAGTGGAAAAAGACTGTTCTGTAATCTTTAAAAATTTTTGTCAAAACT